TCACCTGTGATAACCCACAAAAATCGTAATTCTTCGAAGCTTGTTCTTGTTCTTGGAGGTTCAGGAGGTGTTGGTATGAACTCTCATTTCCAGTTTCTGAATTGCTAATTGAAATATTTTATGATTCTTCTTTGTATTATTATTATTATTATTTTAATTTCTTCTTCAGTATTGCAAGGCAATTTTTATTTCCTTTCCTTTTTTTTTTTTTTTAAATATTGTTTTTTTATTGCATTGTTATAATGGTTATATAGGGCAGATTCCTCTTAGTTACTGAAAATAAAGAGAAACAAAAGCGAATCTCACTCTGAATTTATTGTATCCATGCCCCAAGCGCAAGGAGTAGTTCATGGCTCCCAAGGAAAGGTCGTAGGACCATGGGAATAAAGGGGAAGTCATTTTGGGTTTTCTGTTTATTTAATATAAGTTTTTTATCCTAATTTTGTTAAGCCAGGGTTATTCCTTTATTTTAAGTCAATAATAGAGAGTTCGGATTAAAAGAGAATAGACAACAAGGATATTTTAGGAGCCTTTTAGAGTTTTGGATTTGCTGAAATAATCATTATTGAAGGGTTTTGGGATGGTCTACTAGTTTCTTTGTTTTAGAAATTTGAGTTAATAGAATTCGGAGGTGGATTCCTCATTACTTAGCTAGTTTTTTATTCTTTTTCTACTTTGTTTACCCTTTAGGCTTGTTATTTCGTGAATTTCGGTGAATTGTGGCGCTGATTTGAAAAGAACCAAAACCCTAGTTTGCATCAAGTGGTATCAAATTCAGATTAAAATGGCTCCAAACGTGGCAATCATGAAGAAGTGAACCAGTTTTCTCAAATAGTTCATACCCTAGTGGAGAGAGTAGATGAACTAATGCAACAAGTTGGTGAACTTCAGGGTGGAAGAATCCAGGGACTAGAGTTACAGATCAAGGCAATGATGATGATGGAGGTAACTTGCATCTTGTTGCTAACCAGCCTCAGGCGGCCTCGGTTAATGATGAGTTCAATGATATAACCTGTCCCTTGTTGGAAAGGGAGAAGGAACCTGGAATCAAAATTGATATGTTAGGATTTCATGGCTAATTTCATGTTGATGAGTTTCTTGATTGGCTGAGTAAAATTGAAAAGTATTTGAATAATACAGATATAGTTAATCACAAAAATGTGAAATTATTATGCCAATTTTTTTGGTCATGCTTTTGCATGGTGGGATGATTTATAACATCATCACTTTTGACAAGGCAAGGAGAAAATTAATTAACGGGAGAAGATGAAGACAAAGTTGCACTGAAGATTCTTAATAGTGAGCGATGCTCAGAACTTGTATCAAATGTCAAAATTTCAAGCAATGTGAATAACTGGTGAATGAGTATACTGAGGAGATTTGTACTGTGACATCGAGGGCAAGTTCACCGGAGTTTGAGGATCAAAAGGCAATCATTACTTGAATGGGCTAAATCAGGACATCTAGAATGAATTAGCCTTTCAAAGATGTTTATAAGATATTTGATGTCTACACGTTGGCCCTCAAGGCAGAGGACCTTGTCAGTTTAGGGCTCAGAAGAAAGGGGTTCATTACAAGAACTTTTAATTCGGCATCATGGCAGCAAGCTATGTCCTTCAGAAGACTACCTTTGGGGCATGGGAACTTAGTCCCTCAGCGTATCCCAACTAGGCCAAATCATGACTTAGGGGGAGGACCGGGAGGTGGTTCTTGGCGAGGGTAGCAGCACCTAAAATAGCCATGGAGATGCTTAAATTGTCTCTTTGGATGCCAAGAACTCGGTTATAAGGCATAAAATAGTCCTTTCCATCAACCTTATGTCAAATTTAATTTGGTAGAAGAAAATTATGGTGTAGAAGACGATGAAGAGCAAAGTCTAAGAGGGAGATGGTGATATTGGTCTAAGAGGGAGATGGTGATATTGGACATGCCAATCCTATGAAGCGACTAGCATTCTCACAAGAATTAATGATAATTTGTATGGAGACAGAGGGGGTGAAACCTTAGTCATCTGGTGAACCATCTCTCGACATTTGGGCCATTTGATGAATTCAAGTGGCTGCGACACAATGCTTTTCAAACCACTTATACGTTAGGCGCCAAGTTATGCACAATATTAATTTGTGGTGGGAGTAGTGAGGATACCATGTCTAGGGAGATTATGGAAAAACTCAAACTAAAGGAGCAGAAACACCCATACCTATATCAAATTACATACATCATTCAACTTTGGAAAAACTCAAACTAAAGGAGCAGAAACACCCACACCTATATCAAATTATGTGCATCATTCAACTTCTCACCAATGCTATTAGTTGCTGAAATATCTGACAAAGCGTTAACAAAAGGTCACTATGCCATGAAAAGAACACGCCTCAGTGAGTGACTTTGGTGCGGGCCACTTAGCTGTGGCCTTTACCTTTTCTTGGTTTACCTTAATGCCCTTGGATGAGACAATGATGCCCAAAAAGATGATATTGTTTGTCATAAAGGGGCTATGACCTTTCCATCCCTATTGTGCTTTATTAGCTGTAAGCCATTTGTTAAAAGGTTAAATATCCAAGCTTTCTTGTATTCTATGTATTTTTAAGATTTTTCTGACAAAACCAATTTGGTTAAACCAAGTGTCGAAGTTAACTCTCTTCCCCCACTGAACCAAAGTAGGCTTCATTCTGAACTTGACCATACTGGCACTAAGCTCTATTGTAAACCTGACATTACTTTCACTCACCAAGTGTAGTTTACAAGTTTATAAACATCCTCATGATTTTTCATTTCATGTTTGTTCCACAGAAGTAGAGCAAAATGATGATCTTAAAGTTTCTGGTTTACTTACTTCAAGAATATTTTACTTGTCTGGCTCTTTTGAAGTAGGTGTATAATTGTCTGTTAGTTAATCACCTGTACTGCTGTACATCCCATGCTTCCTGCTTATATTTTAGAACTTTATGTTTCTTTGCCAATAGATGCATCTCTCCGGTCAAGAATCCAGGTTATAAATTATCCATTTTGTAGATTTTCATGTAAAAACTTGGCATTTAGTCATGGTCTATAGGGAGGGAGTGGGGGTTGGTTAGTTCCATCAAATTACCCATTAGCTTCTTCCTTTCTTTGCAATTTCAGGATTTTTTTAATTACGCCTCACAACTTCATAATCAATGCTTTTCTGGGGGCGCAAGCTGCAATATTTAATACTTTCACAATAAGATCAATAGACATATTTTAAGTAATTAAACGGAAATCAGAATCTGCAGAAACATGGTGATGTTCAGTAAAAGTTCCTTACAATGGAAACTTCAGGAGCTGTATATATGTCCATAATTAGCAGGCAGATTGCCGAAAGCTCAAGGTGGATCAAATCCACCTTAATCATTATGTGCTTCAATGGTTGTGTGGGGACCACACAGACAAGTAATGATGTGATGTTTCAATGGCTGTGTGCCTTCTTGCCTTGCACTTTCTATTTATACTAATTCTTAATTAGCATTACTGTTATTACCTTTTGCACTTCCTATTTATACTATTTCTTAATTAGCATTTACTGTTATGGCCTTTCTACTGCTTATGACAATGATTACATTTTTGTTTTTCAGGGCAGCTTGTTGTAGCATCTCTGTTAAATCGTGGAATCAAAGTGCGTCTTTTCCTACGTGATCCTCAAAAAGCAATGTCCTTATTTGGTACACATGATGAGGACACCCTACAGGTTGCAAATGTGCCCAACTAGTTTGTTAGCCATATCGTCCCTTTTGTTTGGTTATTAATTTTTTTTCAGCCTAGTTTTGCTTCATAATCCTTCCACCTTGTCAAGTCTCAAATATTAGTTGGGTTGGGCACATGATTTTTGTTCTTGAAATGTGTGCCTTTTATGGTTGGGTTGGTCTAATCTGATTGCACATGTTTTTTTGTTTGTTTTTTTTTTTTATAACTTGCAAGGTTTGGAAAGGAGACACACGAAATCAAGAGGATCTGGACCCTAGCATGTTTGAGGTCAATCCATGAGTACTTGTAGCATTACTTGAAAGTTCTATGATTGAGACATTCCTGCTTAAATATCTGGACCTTCTAGTCATTTTATTTCTTTCTAGTCAGATACCAAAGACATGAACTTGTTTCATAGGGAGTCACACATGTGATCTGCTGTACTGGAACGACAGCCTTTCCATCAAGACGTTGGGATGGAGAGAACACACCACAAAGAGTAGGTAGAAATTGGATCCTTTTTGCCATGATTCCCACTGTTTTATATCCGAAGAACCCATGCTTCAGTGAAACTTTTTTCAGGTTATTCTTTCCTTCTTTCTGGTTGTACCTAGTTTCCAATTTTCGCTTTCTTAAAGCTATTGCTGAAGTGGCAACACTAAAGGGAAAGAGAAAAAGCTTTGAAATTGGAGTTAAATCTTTATGCTAACCTTTTGTGAATTTACTAGCTATAATATTAGTTCTTAATTCTAGGTTTTGTGCCACTTTTTCGAGCACTTGCAACAGTTTTCTTGCTTGTGCACTTGCAATAGTTTTCTTGCTTTCCTATTACACACTATTTTTGTGCGCACTAGAAATTATTGTCTTGCAAGACGTGTTCCATACTTCCATTATTTATACAAAATGCAATTATGGATTCCCAGTTTAGTTACTTATCTATTCGATTCTATATAATTGTTGCTTTCCTTTCCTTGAAGATTGGGAGGGTGTTCGTAATCTCGTAGCTACACTGCCTCCAACACTCGAGAGGTTTGTGCTTGTATCATCTGTTGGTGTCACTAAATCTACTGAGCTACCTTGGAGGTATGCATTCCCATTCCCTTGGTTATAAATTTAGCGTCACAATATCAAATCGCAACACCTGGTTTTATTTTTAAGCTATATATAATGGCTTTTAAATGGACAAGAATAAATTAAAAAATCAAACAGCATTTTCTTAGCCAAGATATTCTTTATATTAAGTTTCAAGTTTCCTGAGGGGCAGGTAAATGATATAGACTTATCTATAGCTACTCAGGAAATTCGGTGATTGGTCATTTTTACATTTCTAATCTTTCTATAGAACTGTTTGCATTTGAATTTGTTTAGTAGCCTAATGTACCTCAGTGTAACATGTGTTCATCACACCTTTTAGCACTAAGGAAATGTAACACATTGTTTGCTGACTCAACAAGCTGATAGGACTCACCCTAGTTGACCCGGTGGACAGAAAATTGTGTCACAGTATGTATTTGCTTGGCATGTTACAGTCTTGGGAACATAATCCCTTCAGAATCATTTGTGTTGTTGCTGAGTCAATTGACTCAAGTAAGTCGTTGAATTTTAGACTTCTTCCTTTATCTTGTATATCAGTATTCCATCAGCTGTTATTGTTTTCAATAAAACTGTCTTCTAGTCTAGGATCCTTTGAAAAGATATTAATACTTCCATTTCAGTTCAAAGAGGGTTGAAACCAGAAATAATTTACTATCATGTTAAATTGGCAAATCATTCTTTTAGTTTTGAGGTACTGTCTTCAAGACGCCCTTCTTTGAAAGTTCTCTAGACGACATCGGCACATACCATTTGACTCTATGGAGCTTCCTTTTCTCCTTGATATCCCTCTATTGGAAGCTTCTTTAAAATTTCCCAGATTTGTTACAACTTGTCTTGGGAGCTTAAATGCCAAAACTGATAATCATTAAATGCTTTTGATTGAGATATACTTAAACCGTCTACCCAGCAACAAGTAGGACCATACCTTTCCATCTGCTTGGTATCATCATTGTACTCTCAATCAATGTAGGCGTAACTATTCCCCAGCTTTCCTAAGAAGAGTGTCGGGCCTAAGCACATTGAAAAGGTTTTATTCCCGTAAGTCAAAATAACATCTAAGTATTCTTCTTAAACTCACTGGAACAGCTTTAGATCTTCTTCAAAATATAGTTTAGGGTGTATAGAAGTTTATCACCAAAAATGCATGACGGGGGCAGTCTTTTACTTTGTCGCTTATTGGTCATTGTAAAGACCTTCTCGTTGGTGTCTTACACCTTACACTACTCAAAATGACCTTTCAGGATTGGATTCTCCTGGATTCATATAGAAACACAAATTCGGACCATTAGATCTGTACCATGGACTGTGGAGATGATACGTAGATCTACAAGAAAGAGTCCACGATTGTATGTTAAGTAGACTATGGATATCTCCACTGTCCATGGCAGGGATGCAATGGTGAAAACTAAAATTTGTGAGTCATGTAGGGCCAACTCATATATTATCATAATTCTACTCTAAATTTTCTTTCGAATATGTTGACATAAGAAATATAATTCATTTTCCACAAAGGTTGATTAGATCGATATGGATAATTTTGTAGCACATTGTAAAGATGTCCTTGCCATGTAAAATGTTTGCCTTCTATTAAGTTATAGCATTCTATGTTTACCTTTATGCTTCGCAGCTGGTTCTCTTTTTGTTCCATCAAATATATAAATTCATTTCCCACTTTTTAATCTGGATTCTGGATGTTTTCATTGGTTTATCAGTCAATCCCAAATGTGTTGTACAGCCATTTCCTGAATGTTATCCTGTTTTTATTATTGGTGTGTCATTATTGGCTATTATCTGAAAAGCATGTAGGCTATTCGCATATGAAATTCGGATGGGATCCACTAGATGGAATGGGGGGACCCATGCTAGACATTGCTGTAGGGTGTCAAAAGATTATTACTCTTTATTATATATTCTACCATAATCATATCACAAGTTTAGTTATATGATGTTCATGTCATAGTGCATGTTTTTTTATACTTTTTTTTCCCCACATTTGTATTCATAGCATCTTATGTTTCTTATATGTATGTATCTTAGGTTCCCAAGTATTGGGAGAGAGTATGGTCTTGCGTTGATACTGATATGTTATTATACAACTATCACAGTATTTTAGTCTACATCATAGCTTCTATGATATTTGGTAGTTATTAAACTCATGTGATTACTTTCAAGAGATTTTATTGGAGGGCTACATGTAGTAGATAACTACATGTGTAGTTCTTTTATTGAATGGTTCTTCCCCACATTATATCTGGATTAAACACATTAAATGATCATGCATGTGGATTCCAATCCAAAGTAAACAGCTGAGTTTCTGAAGATGATGTAGCTTAGTAGTGCAGTATAAACCTAAATGGGCACTTTTGCTGAGGAAGGAATATGTTCTAACTAAATCTTTTGGTCAGCATCATGAATCTTTTTGGGGTTCTAAAGTACAAGAAGAAGGGAGAGGATTTTCTTTGCTACTCTGGTGTTCCCTTCACCATAATTAGGTAAGTATATATACTATTTATGGCATGAAGAATGTGAGATGAGCAAGATGGCAATTCTCTTTCACCATCATGCTTATCCTTCCATCCTTGAAATTTTCAACCAGTTTTTCATATCGGATGGCTGACAGAGATGTAAAATGTGTTGATAGAGCAGGGAGATTGACTGATGGTCCATATACTTCATATGATCTGAACACTTTACTGAAAGCGACTGCAGGGAAACGCCGAGCAGTCCTTATAGGCCAAGGTACCCATAGTTTATCTGTGGAGTATGATTATCGCCTGAATCTTTGTTTGCTTGATACTTCAGTAGTTTCTATTACATGGTCCCCTAGACCTAGCAACTCCAGAACTGATGGGAATTAGATCTGCAATATGGTTTTGATTTCATTATATAAATCTGGGCTCGTTGAGGTTATATTCAATCAGGTAGTTTCGGATATGGGCCTTTTCCGAAGTCCAATAACCTAGTAACCGTGATAATACATCAAAAGGAGGTAAATGAGCGACATATTTACTGATATAGTCATGCAAATATGTGCACTTAGTAAATTATCAATATTAGTGGCAGTTGTGGCTGCTTGACTCCTAGATTTTTTTTCGCACATAACAAATGATAGTGTCTCAGTCAGAAGAGAAAATTTACAGTGCTATCGAATGAGAAGGAAGTCAAATTGAGGTTGTCAAAAAAATAAAAAATAAAAAATAAAAAAATCAAATCCCTCTTTCTAGAATGAAACTTCTGTGACAGTTCTTTCTGGAAAGTCATCTCTTTGCTGCTCTGCTCTCTCTCCTATAAATTTTCCTTTCACATTTCATTAACAGTATCTAGCCTCAATCCTCATGACTGTTCAGTTTATATGGTACCAATTACACTTATTCTATGTAAGTCACTACTTTCTTCAAGATGGTTGGCTTAGTAAGTCACTACTTTCTTCAAGATGGTTGCCTAAATGTTATATTTTCACTTATATTCCACTTGCTGCAGTGCTTTTATGTTTCTAAAATATTTGCCTTTCCTTCTGAATCTCATGGTGCTATTGGATTTAAGGTGATAAACTTGTTGGAGAGGTCAGCAGACTTGTAGTGGCTGAAGCTTGCATACAAGCAATGGATCTAGAATGCACAAAGGGCCAAATTTATGAAATCAACTCTGTAGAGGTTAGTAGTTCTTCTCAACTCTATATGAAATCAACTTTTATGGAACTTGAAATTTGCTTATTGTATTTTAGGATGTATGCTCATGTCCCTTTAATTTTACATTATTACATAATTCCCCTGGATTGTGGTAGTTTACATTCAGACCCTTTTTTCCAATTCTTTTATGTTTTCCCAAAGTGTCCCCACTTTGGATCTTCAAGATCTGAAGTCATATCTTATGTGATGACTTCCAATATTGAAGATCTGAAGTAAAATTTTCAAGTATGACTTCGGACCTTCAAGATGTGAAGTCATTTTTTCGCTTTGGATCTTGAAGGTCTGAAATGGGGTTTTGAAGCCAAGACCTATAATGCCTAATGCTTTAATGCATGGGGTATAATGCCTCAAAGCATAAGTCTTATATTTTGACTTATTTTGACTTTATAACTTCTGGCTTTGGAGCCAAGACTTGTTGAGTATTGGCTTTGGAGCCGATTGGAAAATATAAGGCTTTATGTTTTATCTCTGGACTTCAATGTCCGAAGTGAAGAGACAACTTGGATCTTGAAGGTTTGAAGTTATACTTTGAAATATTTGTTTATGATCTTCAAGATCTGAAGTTATTACCTAGGTATGAGTTTGGATCTTGAAGGTCCAAAGTGGGGGTATTTCGAAAAAAATTAAAGAAAATGAAAAGGGTATGAACATAAAATATTGAAAGAAGTGGCTATGTGGAAAGGAGTAAAATAAAAAATTCCTTTTTTCTTTTATTAATCAATCTGAATTCTACTTACAAGTGCACAATACCCTGCTGTAAATCAGAAATAAAGCCCTAAACACAACCTAGGGTATTTGCTTTTACTACCAAATAAAATAGTCACAATCCAGGAATGAAAAACAAGCTTACACAAAAGTAGAAATAATGTTCATGGAAATTCAAATAAATAAGTGAATAATGGCTGAACATAAGACCAAAAAGTCGGGAAGACTTACTCAACTTTGCTTAGGGGTCACCCCTATAGGACATATTACACCCCACCCCCGATTTCCTAATTGATGACGCACCCTGATCCTATTGGCCTTGCAAAATTTTTTGAACCGGGAAGCTTCCTTAGGCAATCCCTCACAAACTGGTTTTATTTTTATTTTTAATGAGAGCATGAAACTAGGGTTTCAAGACCCGTTTTTAATCCTTTGGGGCATGCCACTGTGTGGCACCTCCCCTATTTTTATCCTAGGGCTGGGCGTGCCCTATATCTCTCTAACCATGGGTGGTGCATGCCACCCCTTGAGGCTTATAGGGGGTCACATGCCACCTCGAGAGAGAAGAGAGAACAAGAGATAGAGAAGAGAGAGTGGGGTGTGGAGAGAGAGAGAGAGAGAGAGAGAGAGAGAGAGAGAGAGAGAGAGAGAGAGAGTAGTAGAGAAGTAGTAGTAGAGAGTAGGTAGGGTACGTCGTTCGTTACGTACGTACGTCGTCGTACGTCGTACGTACGTACGTACTAACTAACTAGTACTACT